GGGGTGGCCGGTGCCGGAGGCAGAGATACCAACGGGGGGCGGGAAACAGGGGCTGCTGCGCGGGTGGGAGGGGCAGCAGCGCAGTACACCCGGGATTTTTCCTTTCTCCTGCCCCCAGCCCCCCTGGTTGCTAAACACAGCCCGAGCCCCATCCTCCCCAGCCCCTCTCCCCTTTGTCTTTACAAGCTTCAGGGCCCTGCGCTCTCTTCACACCAGGTTTGTGTGCTTCAAACCACCGCGGCTGTGCCTGGGTCCGGGGCCTCATCCAGCATAGGGGGTGCTGAGGTCTCCGTTACTGCCCCGGGGCTCAGCCTCCGTCAGATCAACCCCAACCGCACCCACTGTGTCCTACTGCGCCGGTAGGGAGAGGGTCCCCGCCTTTCTGCCCCCCAAAACTCACCAGGGAAGGGACAGGGCCCTGTCGCTGCATGGATAGCTCTGTACAACTCCCCAGGTGATATAAAAGCGGCCTGAAGTGATACTAAATTAATTTGCTACCCTTGTTTGTGCTTTATACAAGTTCACCATGGGTTAGATTCTGCCACTGCTAACGGAGGGCTGGATGGCATCTCCTTACCTTCTGCTTTAAGAACCTTTCCCATCCCACTGCTGTTGGGGTACAGGGCTGCACCGTTTAACAACATTTTGCTCCAACTGTTTATTCAGATACGCGAGTTAAACCAGTGTACCATTTTAAGAGCAAGCTGGAACTAATTCTGATTTTAAAAAAAAGCATAAAAAGCAGCTCTTAACTTCCCCTCCCTACAGAGAGCACTGCCGAGTAACAGTTTGCAAAGCATTTCATTCCTCTTCTCGAAGTTTGTGGCCGGATTCATGCCAGCATCAGCACAGATGGCTGCACATCAACCGTTTGGGTGAGCTCACCCGCTTCTCCTTGAGGGCTCTTACTCTTCTTTGAAGCTCAGTTTGTTCTTCACCTTCCGGGCCATGTAAGCGGCTGTGAGGACAGAGCAGGTCACAGTGAAGATGCACAGGGCAGAGAAGTTGTGCGCCAGATCACCCTGAAGAGTGGAATAGATGTGTCTCCTGGACTCATAGTCCAACACCACCGCCTCGATCTGCGCCAGCGTGCAGAGTACCAGGCACACGTGAAAAATCTGATGGCTCTGCCCGAAGAAGTGACATTTCCCGGGGAACCACTTCTCGGGGTAAGGGTGTGAGAAAAAAAAGGCACCGATGAGGAAAAACAGCACCTGGCATTTGTGATACAGAAGGGCCGGGTCAGCCTGCTCGGAGGAGGGTGGCGCAGTGTAGATGCGGTGGACCACAGGGCTGATGTCCAGCATGTACGCCAGGCCGGAGGGCAGCTCCTGGCAGAGCCGGCTCAGAAGGCGAGCGGACTGGTGGTACCGGTACTTGGCATAGCAGGAACCGGCGCAGGACAGCCACGCTAACAGGACAGCCACCGGCATGTAAAACCCCTTGATCTTCTCGTGCCAGCTTGGCTCGATGGCATAGTAGTAGTGGCCCAGAGCGCTGCCGTACTGGTAAATGGCGACCCCCACATAGTCCATGAAGAAGAAGCTGTAGTGCCAGAACTCAGATTTGGCCTGCAGAAGGTGAGCGAGGGTGCTGAACGTCAGGTAGGTGATGGATGCCACAATGATGATGAGGAGGGGTTGAGCGTGCAGGTCCTGCCCAAAATCCACCCGCTGCGAGAGCTGCTGGAACCGCAGCAGCAGGATCAGTGCTGCCACCAGATGGGTCCAGACGTTGATGGCCTCGTTGTGCTGCTGGAAGAGTGTCGAGAAGTAATAGCGCCAGGTCTGCTGCACCGGCCGGTAGCCGGTGTGGATGTAGGGCTTCCAGAAGACCTTTGGCACCTCTGAACTGCTGACGGTGGAGGGAGAGAGGGGGGCCAGCAGCTGCGGGACCTGCCGCATGTTAATGAAGAGGCGGGGGAGAGTTTTGGTGGCGGACCGCGCCGCGT